ATCACATGCATAGAAGTTGACATGTGATCTTACCTAACCAAATCACTTTATATTTGATCAAAGAGGCCAGATGTAGAGTATGTATACCACTTTTTAGGGATTTGTCGGTGAGTTTTCTTGACTCGTAAGCTTGAATTTGGGTGTGACGATGTTGTCCGTCATATGACGCACGAAAACTTATCACCTTTTCACCGTAATCGAGTGAGATTGCCTCGGAAACAGCGTCAGCATGAATATTTCAGTCAAGCCAATCGACAGCTGGTCAAGAGGAATCCACCGTCATCTTCTGGTAGAACCGAGCTTGGAATCTCTTCACCGCACACTTTCACTCGAAATGGAAGTAATCTCAACAATTATGAAACAAGAAATTCCTCGAAAACCAATTTTTTTTCGTATACATTTTTATTGCAGCTCCTTCTTTGTCCGCCTGGAGGACTAGTTGTTGATTCTTTTCCAGAGTTTTGCGCATCACGGCAACTCTGTTCCTGCCTGTTGCTTCTTGACGTGTCAAGATCTTTGGAATTAGTTCCATCTCAAATTCCCGTTTTGTCTCCTCAGGGAACTTGTCGTCGATGTTGTTGTTGAATTAAAAAGTAGAGTCCTTCTTCCAGGATTAAGGTTGTTTCGGGATTAAGATGCTTACATATCGTCTACTAAAGCAGGACGCAACTATGAAGATTAAGTTACACCCGTTTAATCACGGAGATGACCCGTGAAGACAGTAACTAATATCTGCAAGAATGGGAATCACAGTCTAGGCGCTCTGTTCGGTGAGGTGACAGTCTTTGAGAAATAGCGTCTGCAGTGAAACGGACACTGGGACTGGAAGCGAGTGAAATCGGTCAAGCAGAACGAGAAGGAACGGATCTACGAGACAATGAAGAGATCCGGATTGGGGGCCCGAATCGGATCAGCCGAATATCTTCTCAATAAAATGAATAAACTTCAATAATGCTCTGAACATCACCGCCAACATCATCACTAGCACTAGCACAAGGCCAATACATTCACGCCAACACACACTTTTCCCTCACCACTCACGGAGCTCTGACTGTTTTTGTCAGCTTCGAACAAACTCTTTTCCTTCCTCCTCTACCCAAACTTCAGCGCTTTTCTTTCTCTCTCTTTCCTCCATTCCTCTTCCTGCTTCCTCCTGCCTTCTCCTTCTTCTTTCCTCAAGCATTGACGCCTTTCCGCCACCCTCCTCTCTACCCCTCTTTCCAACCTGCGCAGGGTTCGAACCGGCGACTCTTCAAGCAACCGGTCACCCCTTGGCCGATGCATGACAAACTCTTAAGCCTACCAATAGACAAAATGTCTGCTTGAATGAAAGAAAAAAAAATCACTTGTATAATTGAAATGTTTATTTTATTAACTGTAGACTATTCCAATAAAAGGCAAAAAATTACGCATTCACAAGTTCATGGACGCAAGGTAGTTAGTCCGCTTTCGCCAGACAGAGCCGTTTCATCACCATCTCCCGGTAGGCCTCGAACTCTGAAACCAACGGAACAAGGCATAAAGTGGCAGAAGAGAAAGAAAGTAAAGTTCTTAAACCAAACAGAAATCAAAACCGGACAAGCCGACAAAAAGAGATGGTCAGACAAACAGGAGGACAATATTAAGTAAAAGCAGATCTCGAATATTTTAGATCTTGAATAGAGTCTCTATCCTTTCCAAGTGACATGAAGTGACGCGATAGTGACGGTTGAATTTGCACCCAATTCCATGAATAAACCTCCCCAAGCCAGATTGAAAGTACTACTTCATAATGGGCCTAAGCCTCAACCCAACGCAAAACCAACTCGAGTCGTGCACTTAATGGCGAAACTTGACCACTCGATAAAGAGTCAAGGATTCCGGTGGTTTATGATGCAGATGCGACTTTCAAGGCAAGCCAGGCCTCGAATAAACCAAAATATAAAATAATAATATGTAAAATTACTTAAATTGGCATTAAGTAGTATAGTTAATTCCCACTCGAATTGTGGACTTAATGGCGAAACTTGATCGCTTGATAAAGAGCAAATGATTCCGGTGGTTTATGATGCAGATGCGACTTTCAAGGCAATCCAGGCCTCGAATATACCAAAATATGAAATAATAATATGTAAAATTACTTAAATTGGCATTAAATAGTATGGTTAATTCCAACTCGAGTCGTGCACTTAATGGCGAAACTTGATCACTCGATAAAGAGCAAATGATTCCGGTGGTTTATGATACAGATGCGACTTTCAAGGCAAGCTAGGCCTCGAATATACCAAAATAT